CAATAGGAACAATTTTGGGACTAAGGCAATTGCCTTAACCTTTTCTTRTTTGCCATATTCATTTTCATTCCTGGGTGGGTTATTTAGTGTAAGTTCATAGAAAAAAATTCAAACAAACATGACAGCTTATAATAAATTGGAATAGAAAAGCTCAAAGGATTATGTCTTTAATTAAAAGATTACGCAAAAACAATCAACTGAGTACTGTATGAAATCCCATAGCAAAAAWTAAAAGAAACATTTATTAAAAGATTATCTATTTTTAATATTACTCTAAAGAAAAAAGTCAAAAAAGGGAGTAAATTGATTGTTTATCATTTTTATGAAAAGTGCTGTCTGGATGTGTGGATCCATTATTGTGTAAAGAAAGAATTGACGAATCAGTGAATGGATTAATGAATCAATACACAAAGAGAAGAAAGGATAGAATGAACATAGTAGGAATAAATGGATGGACAGAGAAAGAAATTGAAATGGATGATAGAATGGGTGAAAGAATTTAAACAAATAAATACAAAAACATACACCTAATTACACAAACGTTGTCCAAGAAAAAAGAACTTTTACTATTTTAGGAATTAATTAAAAAACAAAAGAAAGTATTCGGCTTCAGTGGTATGCTTTGTGTTGTCTTTTAATGTATTCTTAACTTCCTAAATCCTTAAATCTCAGGACAACGTTTTCGTAATTAGGTGTAAATACATGGGTGGATAGATTATTGTAATAAATTGGAAAAATGGAAGGATGAATGAAAGCACCAWATGAAAACTGGAATCAAAATATGGACCACTCAATCCGGCATTATCTGCTCAAAAAACTTACGTCCTAGCTGCCAAAACTTTTAACACTCAATGCAACTTTCAACCAATCAATGCACATGTTATAGAATATTTATGCTATAAGCACATTTTGAGATTTAGGTCTCTCCACAATATAAAAGATACAAAAAATCTTACCTGTTGATATAAGGTGTTGTTACGCCAGCAAATTCTCTATTTGGACAGCCAAACAATATAACAGTCACAAGAATAGCAGCAATGGTAGCTATCACAGAACATGCTTTTAAAATCTGAGAACAATTCCATTGCATTCTCTTTATCAAATAACCTCCCAAAAACATCCCAATGCTCCCGCCAGAGACWGTAACTAGTCCAGTATACAGACTGGCTTGAGAGGATGACATTCGAAACTGCGCTTCCATRAATTTGGGTGAAAATGTTGAAAATCCACTCACTGCRAACCCTTCGAAAGTTGCTCCAAGAGCTAAAAATACAAATACTGGRTTCGTTAGCAGATCYTTCAAGTCTGGSAGAAGTTGCTTMAGTGTATGTGGAGTGTTGGCATCTTCAATTGTGTCACTAAGTTGTTGCTTCTCAGCACGTATTTTATATGTYCCTGGGAGTTCCCTTGGAAACATTAATAATGGTACACTACACATCAATGCAAGACTACCCCCAGCAATGTACCCAAGCCACCAAGCACCGATGAAGGAGAAGTCTGTTGGCTTTAAGTCATACCCAGGAGGCTGGAAAATAAGACAGGGAACTGATTACCAAATTACATTAATAACAC